GCGTTCAGCTACACTCGTGAGCGCCGGTGAATCCGACGAATCCACTCATTCGACAAACGCTCTCATTTCGCGCTCTTATCCGTAAGCCATGGCTTGTTACTTTTCCCATTTGCAGTCTCCCAGTCGTTGGTGACATGGCATCCAGCGCCAGAAATGAATTCCCCCCAATAGATGGACGCACTTTCTTCGCCGTGCGCCTACTGCGAATCGGTTGCTGTCAGAGATCCATTAGCAAGAAACCACGAGCTGCTACGGATCTGCACCGCTGCACAGCGCTACGTCCTGCTCCGTCGGCGGTGGGATCCAAGTGTGTATCTCGTCGCCAAAGACCTATCCTTACGTCAGACGAGAGAGTCGGGGCCATCTACGGCGGAAAGCCGAATTTGAATGTCATTGTACAGGGGGCTCACGGGCTACGCCGCAGCCAGTGGTCGATTGTTGCTTCAACGCTGTTTTCGGATGTGTGCTGGAGAAACCCACCCCCTTCCGGGACCGAGACCGGGCCTCGGCGGGCTCGTCTCCCACAAAGCTGCAGGGGCCCCCTCGATTTCCCTACCGACGGCACTCAGAAAGAACAGAAAGAACGGCCACCATCGTACCGGTAGACAAACCGAAAGGCCAAAAACGGCTGCGGCTCCAAGCATCTGGACCGGCTAGGCGCAACGCAGGACAGGCTCCACCCGCATTGCCGCGGAACATGGCGAGCTTTGAGGTTCGTCAATCACCATTCATCCCATCACACAGCATGCAAGGTACGTTCTCAATCTCAAGCGCCCACAGGGCTAGCGTCATGGCGCCCGAGGAGCTCTGACAGTCGCTAGCATTGGGTCGTCTTCGACTCCCCTTTCCGTTAATTTGCCGTCTGTCGCTGGTTTGGTGCCAGAATTGAATTGTGGTATAGAGACCGCCTGGCGAACTACTCACGAGCAGGGAAGTGGGGCTGCAGCTCTACGTAATCGAAAGCGAGACGGGCGAAATCCAGGTGTTCACTGCACCAGAAAGCTACGGAGATCTCATTGCCCATCGGAAGCACCGCCCACCAAAAGGCCCAAAGGTTTGTTTGCACGAAGAAAACGTCATCACAACATGAGGCCTCAGCGGCAATACGGCCTCGAAAACGGCAGCTGGAGTATTGGCAGCCTTTTCAATGTAATTTTCGGAACATGCACGATGGTTTCCATCTCTACATAGAAATACCGCACTTGATTCATGTCCTAAACTCGTCGCTGTGTGACCTATCTCATGACTCGTTGCGCCGCCTTCAAGTAGCCAGACACCGGTCAAACGCCAACGCCTGATGATGGCGATATTTCCACGTGCTTCAACTTCGCGTCGCTTTCCTTTCACGGATAACTTACAGCAACATGCCCCAGCAATAACTCTTCATCATGGATCATCATAGCTCATCATAGCTCATCATAGCTCACCATAGATTCTTGATACTGTTCAGTTATCCCTTCTCCCATGAATTGCTGTTATGTGTTGTTGCCACGTCCAGAATAGGCAGGCGGTGGGAAGGGCGGCACGTCGAGAGCCACGTAGGACTGCCGATCGACCTCGGCCGTGGTCGTCACAAGCACGCCGTCGCCCGTATGCTGCGGTCCGGGGCCGCTGTCTCTGCGTATCTGCGTCTTGTGTCGCCTCAGTCTGTCAACAGACCGGGTCCACCTTTTCGGACTGTCCTTGCT